TGACAGGAGTCTAGGAGTGAGTGCGCGAGGTGGTTATAAAAGGCTCTCCACCCCCAAAGAGGAGGTATGCAAACTTTGCGCTATCTGGTTTTACCTTGCCTTTGAAGGATTCTAACTTAAGCTTCAGAGCCTTTACACCGGGTCCCCCCGGAGCTTCCTCGTCTTCTCCCTTTCAGGTTCTCTGCTACTCAGTTCAGAGGCAAGGTCGTTGACAGCTAAGACCGACCAGATTGCGCTTCATCAGAACTGAATGTATAACCAGCCCCGTTCATGAAAGGCCTCTGGTGGTGAGGCATCCCCTTGTCATTAATCACCTTGTATTGACCTGACATGAGCAGGGACTAAACTGATATTTCATGGAAGAATTAAAAAAAAAAAGACCAACAAGAAAAGTCCCAGTATATATTGTACCAGGTTTGCTGGATTTTATTTGATTAGGAACTTTTTGCCATCAATATGTGTCAAAGAAAATTGGAAACCATAGAGAGAGAGCCTTCCTTTTCTTCCCCCGCTCATGTGCCTTAGACTTAGATACCCTTGATTGGAATTCAATTCACCAAATCAACGTGGCTGGTGATGACTATTTGAATGCTTCTGATTATGATGATGAAACCCGCATTCTACCCATCGTTTTCGACATCTTCTAAAGCTTCTCAATCACAAGAGACAAGTTTTGTTCAAATTGGTCTATCGTCTCTAACATCTTTAGATGAGTTTTTTCTGAAGTTCTCACTTTTAATATGGTGTTAAAAGTTTTATTTTGAAAATTTAGAGAACAATGATGGATAAAATAGTCATTTTAATCATTTCGTTAATGAATACTGACAGTAAAGAAGATTTAGTCCGTTGTTAGAAAAATTAGGGGTACTTTAAGAAATATATATATATATATATCCCAAACTCGAATTTTTTTTTATCTTTGTGTTCCAAATTTTGTTTATGTAATATTCACTTCCTCGTTTCCTGTAAAGGTTGGGACTGTATCAGTGGAAGACTAAGGATACAGATTTATCATATTTCTCATTTATCCTTCCATAAATTTTTTGAATTATCATTATGGTTTAGCTAATTGACTAATTCGCCCTTTTTGTTTAGAGATAGCGAATACTGTAACCTTTTTTTTTTTATTTTTAATATATGTTTGGCATCGATGCTGCAGATGCAACACTGTTTTTTGAGAAAATGGTGCTGCTGATGTGTGGATTGGAAGTATCGTTTTCTTAAAAAATGGTGTCTGTTTTTTGTTTGGAATTGTTGCTGCCAAGTAGGACGTTTCCTGGAGCAACAACAACTTTTTCTGTTTGGTACCAATGTTCCAAGAAACGTTTTCTACACTTCTACCCATTATCTAGTACCACATTACTGTCTTGTTGGCAACACCGAGCTGCAGTTCTAGGAAACACCAAATTTGGCGTTACTCGGAAAGGCATGGCTTGGAGCACCGTTTTCAATGAAAAAACGATTTCAGTTGTTTCTTGGAGCTCCATTTTTTCTTACATGGCGCTGATATGGCCCCATTTTCTGGAGCAACGACAATGGTTTCAAACAAACGCTTAGTGCGCTAATAGGCTAGCATTGAGCATATGTATTGTCATCTTGGTGGGTGAGGATGGTAAAAAATTGCAATGACGACACCCCTTTTTCCCCTCACTCTATTCCAACTCCAAAACCACAACTTATACTCGATTTGAAACTCAACAAATGTATAATAGAGCAAAAAACAGATCTATTTCTGAAAGCTCAAACCCAAAAACAAACGTACAACAGAGGAAAAACAAATCTACTTCTAACATACTAAATATAGCCATGCCAAACGTGGAACAGAGTGAAAAATTAAAGTAGCTAGTTATACTCTTAAGACACATATAACAGAGTGAAAAACTAAAGTAGCTAGTTATACTCTTAACACACATATAACAGAGTGAAAAATAATCTACTTCCAACTCCGAAAACAAATAAGAAAGTACCAAACAGGGGAAAATAACTGTTATTTGGGAAAGGTCTTTCATATTAGAAAGGGAGGAACCTGGATTTGGCCATTTGGGAGAGGGAAAAAGAAGAAGGAATACTTTACCTCTACATAACTTGTTTTTTTACAACTTCTCATTTGTTTCACTATTGTGAATCCTTGATATTGGTTGAGAGGCTGTTGATATGGCAAAATGGGCGGTCGTAAGGGAGAAAAGGAGAGAGAGTTTAAGAAGAAATTCCTCACTTCCTACACGACTTTGACATTGTTGGGGTAAGGAAATGTGAGAGGTGAATGTTCTAAATTAATTACATGAAACTAAAAAGATTCAAAAATTCAAAAAATTTAAAAAATAAAAAAAAAGAGATTTTGCGGTGAGTTTTGAAAGAGAGAAAGAAAAACAATTTAAGAAATAATTTACATGTTCTAAATTACTATTTATGAGGTTTTCACATTTTCATTCCAAAAACGAAAAAAGGAAAGAAAAAAATTGTTGCAGAACTAAATCATAATATGGGATGGGTCCATGACGATGGAAAGATCAGGAGACGGACAAAATGAAACCCACCAGCACCACCTTCACCAGTAATAAAGGTTAAACTTTGATGCATCAATTCAATGGGTGTCCAAGGTGATGCAGCAATGGGCTGGATAACAAGAGCAAAAGACGATTGTGAATGAAATTATAAGCAGCAAACCAATGTTAACGTTTTGATCTAGTGCAGACGAAGGCGCAGAACGGCAGAAGAAATTTAAGATGAAGATTGATGATTCGGTTATAAAATGGAGAGAGAGAGAGAGAGAGAGAGAGACTTCAATCTCGTAATGGAGTCTCTACAAAGTCAAAACCCTTCTTCCGTTGCACATTCATGCGATTGATCATTCACAGTTGCAACGATGGCAGATCCCAATCAGCAAGCTAAGCATCTTCAGTCTTCAGTCCTCACATAATGCCTACTTAGAGATTGCAACGATGGCAGATCCAATGCACTTTTTTTGCTTTCTGTAATGGTGTAAATCTAGATATTATTAACAGAAGCTCGTCGGAAAGTTAAAAAAAAATTGTTTAAAGAGTCGATGAATAGTTTTGAAACAGTCGGTGCGTTACTTGGGGAAGAGTGAGAGGAGTGTTAATTCGAGTCAATTACTAGACTTGGAATCTCGGAGTCTCGTGCCTCCTAGCTGAGTAGGACTCAAGACTCAGGAATCAGGAGTGGAGCCAAGAGAGATCATGGAATCAAGTTGACAGCCAGGTAGGTCTGAATTACAGAGGGCAAGGCTGTGTTTGGTTGCAATGCAAATAAATTTGCACTGATGCAAAACCATAGCGGTGCAAATGATTTGAGTGTAAATTTTGACCTATTATTGTTTCAAATTTTTGTACAAATGAAGTAAATTAAGACATGAAGCAGAATAAAGTAAAATCCAAAACAAAATTAAACAAGAATTTGCATTTTTTACATTTGCACTCCCTTGCATTTGTATTAGTGCAAATAAATTTGCACTGCAACCAAACACAGCCTAAAGTGCAAATACAAGGTTTCGCAATGTACATATTTGTGTATACACTCTTTCCCAAACTGAATCTAAACATCAATGGCCAGTTTGGAAGTTGGAACCTCACAGATGCTGATGCTGCCACTAGACTACTAGAGGATCAATAGCCAGATTAAAAGTAAACAAATTCATGCAACATGGTATACACTATGCTAAAAATTCATTCACACGATGTTAATATTAATTCTATCTTTCCCTTGTGCTTCCATCTTTTTGCTATTTCTTAGGTGGTTAGAGATTAGGCTGTAATCTATGATGTTAAATAAAGAAAACCTGAAAGCTAGGGCCTTGTCATCAACTTCAACATACTCCTTGCCACTAGCCCAGAGTACATTTCCATTTTGCACATAAAATAAACAAGTTGCGTGAACAGAATTAACATCTAACCAATCAAAGCACACAAAAAAAAATGACTTTTTCCAATATCTGCTATGCTGTCAGTTACTGACTAGATGGCATCTAAGTTGTGCATCTGCAAGTAAAAGCAAAGAGCAAGCCCATCAGTTCTTTTAGTGGGATCATTCCCAACATAGATGCACATTAGATCTCACTTGGTCATTTCAAATGCAGTACAAGCCTCGAATACCATAAACAATTTTGGTGAGATAATTCAATCGGTTAAAAAAATATAATCAGTCCAGAAACTAATTTATATTTGATTGCCATGGAATCTACAGCTGATGATATGAATTGACAAATGATAAAAGATGGTGGTGACACTGTTGCTGGGGAAATTGAGGGAAGATTGGAGTTCTGCAATCTAACTTGAACAGAAGGATAATTGGTTCAAAGCAGTTATACAAATCACTGAGAAAAAAAAAAAAAAAAGCAAGGGCTTTTATCCAATAGGAATCAAATCAAAGGACATACAATCATGCACGGCCCAGTGAGAAATGTTGCTAGAGAGCTTACTAGGATATCTCAATCCCACACCCACCCCTATGTCCCTGCCATGTTTTCGAGGCAAACACCAAATATACAGTGACTAAAGAAGACAAAAGAAATATATTCAAGTAAAAAACAGATGTTACTTAGGAGTTAAGTCTAAGTGAAACAACAGATACTCAGGAAAAAAAGGATAAAACATGAACTCCTGATAATAGGCATTTGACATTTTTCTTCCTTTTCCTCCAAGAAACCACCCAAAAAAATGCATTTTATGTACAAGAGAAACTGTGAATTTTAACCACCATGAAACATATAACTTTCCAGCACATCAAAATTTTAGTTTTACTGCATCACATTTCTTAGGTTCAACCTCATGGTTAACCAGTAAGAATTAGGAGGCTTTTTTTTTAAAAGGAATGGGTCACAGGCTTCAAGCCAATAATATGGAGCAATTAATTTTCGCATCAAGAATCTTAAAATTCATCAGATTATATAAAACATCAAGTCTGAATAATACTAGAGAAAGGATATTTCAAATTGAAGAGTTTATACCAACCAGCCAACACTATCAGATGTTATGACCGCTTGAAAAGATGATGTGCCAGCATCTCTGGTATTCCCATTGCAGCAAGGCTTGCACATCCAAAAAGCTCTTGAAGTTTTGCATCACATAATATCACCATTGAATTTAGAGGATCCTAAAGGATGTGCACAGACTATAAGTTTCAATGTAAACCAACCATTTTTATATAAGAAAAGGATAAGGAGTGAAATGGAAATATAATATACAACAGATGCAAAAGTTGTTATCTGAGAAATCATTCTTAATATAGTTGCAAATAAACAGGAAGAAAGACAAGGATATATATACTTAAGATTGACAAATGCACAAGAATTTTCAGTGAAGACTAGACATAAAATATGTGCTTTTTAATAGTCATCATTATAACACATAGTTTTCTTTCTAAGATATGCAGCTTTTGCTCCAAAAGGTTTGAAATACTGGTGGAGGTTCAAAAATTGATAAATGGATTGAATTCTGCATTTTTGGCAACTGAACCACATAAAACACCTACCCAAATCAACTCAATGCAATTCAGCCTTAATCCCAACTATTTGGGGCTAGCTGCATGAATCCCGCTTGCCGTTGTGCTCTATCAAGAGCATGTTCTCTGTCAAATTATAAGCTTTTAAATCATTTTATACCACTTCAAACCACATTTTCTTTCATCCGCTCTCTTTTAGAGCCGCCTTCTACTTGCACCAGTTCACTCCTCATAAGTGCAGTCATTGGCTGTCTACTTACATGATGTTACGACTAAACCATCTCGGTTGGCTTTTCCTCATCTTGTCACTAATTAGACCTACCACTTCAGACCACAATACTTCCTACTCGGCTAAAAACCATAGCTTATGAGGCAAGGAGATTCTTTTTTTATCAGTATGCAAGGAGGTGCTTAAAACATAATATGTTTTCTTATTGGCAGAAAGACAAAAGCATGGCCAGATGTTTATATCAAATTTGTTTATAGAGGATTCCAAGGCCCTATTATTTAACAAATAAAGAAAACTCTAGCAACATGAAGACTATCTAAACAAACGAATAGATATAAAGGATTCCAACATGAAGACTACAATGTGATGTGTTTAAAATATTATTCTTAAAGGTGTGTTGCAATTCCAGAACTGCCAATGGAAATGATTTTACATTTCCTTCTTTATATCTATTCGTTTGTTTGTTTTCTTACTCATCTCTTTCTGTGTGGTGTTGTGGGTGAACAAGGGTGGGAGACTTATTAAAAAAAAGGGATCAATGGGAGTGGAATGAGGAAAGCTCCTTCATGCAAAACTGAATTATACACAAATATGCACCATGCTGGGAAAAAAAAGTAACAATGAAAGCAAGATGCAAAACTAAGTTCCTTCTTGGATATATATTTCTTGGAACCAATGCAGTATAGCTTGACCTCATAGACAAACTATGGGTCCTAGAAACACTAGAACCCACCTCCAGATGGTTAAGTTTTATGTACTCCCAAAGGCATCTTAAAGCCTCTGCTTGGATCATCTCCCTTTCTCCAGTGCCAAAAAACTTGGCAAGTGCATCGGATATTACAACAAGTGATTGACCAGCTTCAGCACTTTCAGTTGTGGATTCAACATCTAACTTGATCCGTTTAGAATCTTGGCCTGACTCTTCTGCAATCATAAAGAAAACATGTATTTTGATTTAGGCTACCAATAAGAGCTAAAGAATTTTCATCTCTAGTGGCATGCATACTTGTAGGTTCAAGAGGGATAATATGCTTTGCCAGAAGTTTATTCATCTTGAACATGTCAGTGCTGTCTGTCTCAAACACCAAACGCAGAGCATCATCACAAATTATTTTTCTCTTGTTACTTGGATCTTGGAGATTATGTTTCCTTATGTAAGCCCATAGCTGTTTCACAATCTGAACCAAAAGAAGTGGTGCCATTAGGACCCTCTAGTAATGTTAAGGAAAAGGCTGATATATTTAAAAAAAAAAACATAATAAATGAGGTGTTTGACAGAAGCAGCTGATTAGTTTTGGACTAAAAACCTGGGTCCTTGGCATGGCAGGCTCACCAACAATGGCCTGGAGCTCAGGTGAAACACCACAAACTTTGTTTAGACCCCCTGGGCCACCTCTTCTTTTTGCTCTGCTTGGAGCACTGCAAATAAAGTGATAAAGGAGACAGATACATGAGGTGATGCAAAAGAACATAAGGGCCATTGAGTAGCAGAGTAGCAAATACAAGAGTTAAATAGGCTATGTGGAAGGAGAACCATGAACAAAACCTGCAATCAAATTGTCATGAGTAAGGTATCATTGCAATTAATTCATAATTTATTTGAACCATATTTTCCCATGAAATTTGCAACTAATCATGCATAGGCAAGACAAAATACACAAAAAGAAAATATTATATGTGTAAAAGAAATATGTTGACACTTTATGGCTTAACAACTACTGAAGCAACAACTAAACTTCTCATGAAAAACAGCAGACACATGCAGGTGAACATGATACCCTCCAATCCTAATCAAGCTATATATGGTCCAGACTCCAGACAAAGCAACACTAGAAATATGAAAATACGAATGACGAGAAAATCTTGGTTGTTTGGAAAAAACAGCCTGGGCTGTTTTGAAGCTTCTTGCACATGACATGTTACCCACTTAGTTCTTTATTTGCCTTTTTAATTAAAAGAATATTGATGCAATTACTCTTTTACCCCACACCCAAGCTAATGTGTCATGCACATGAAGCTTCAAAGCAGCCCAGGCTGTTATTGCTGTTATTTTCCAAGCAGCCATACTTCCTCCATAGATATCTGGACAATGGCATTTTTTTTGGTAGTCAGATAATAGCATTAAAACCACAAAATATTCCAGGAATAGTTATCTGACACATCAGATTGTCCACATTCGTGGAGTTCAACCCTATGATACCCATATACTTATACAAGGGTGCTATATCACGTCTGATACTTCAAGTTTTAGTGCAAATATGATCACTTTGATTAGAAAAGTTTTACCAAACCAAATATGTAGGACAAATGCCTTGATTTAACCGTTGAGATTCAAAAAATTTTGGTTTCTAAGTATCTGGTTGCACATATCTATCCGCTTGAAGTTTTGAAATTAGAAGCAAGATATTGAATGCTGACTTGTTGATATGTGAAACTCCAGAGCGAACAAAAGTTCAAGCACTATTGACCGTACCCATCTTTGGAGGGCAAAGTTAACTAATAAAAGACTAAAGTTCCATAAATAACTGAGGTTGTAACTACACTTAAAAGAATGGTTACCTATGAAATTTCACTTTACGTGAGCATTTATTAAATTGAAAGCAAACATGAAACTCTTCCAAGTATTAAACATGAGCCTTTAGCTTTTAAAGCACATTTCTACCTATCATGAAATGTTATCATAATACGTGGAACTAATGCATTTCGAAGCAAAATAGCACAAGTGAAATGACAGAATAAAGGATAAAATAGTGAAATTAGATAAACAATAGATGAGAAACCAGAGAAAACGAGGCAAGATAACAATAAGAAGATAGGGACTTGGAAGAACTAGTACTCTTACAAAACAACCCATAAGCACTAGGATGAAGATTCCAACAAAGGTACAACACTTCTATGGAGACCAGTGAAGAACACGCTCAGAAACCCTAATTTCACATAATGGGCCCATTTTGACTTTTCAGCACAAATTTTGTAAATTCAGATTTCAAAATACCCGAGAAGAGAAACTCTAAAATTGAAACCTAGAGGGCGCCAGAAAAACTAAAAGCCAACATCTCCGTCAAATTCGGGAAAAAAACACAGAACTATAATTTGGAAAGAAAATAGGATAAAAAGTGAACCTTTCTTTTGGCACTTCGGGGGCGGGTGCTGCAGAGTTCTGAACAAAAGCATCGGCTTTGGTCACCGGAAGATGCGGCGGCGGTGGGCACTGCGGCTGCTGGTGAGGCTGAGGCTGCGGTGGAGGGCGACATCGGAAGTTGAGCTCCTCGCGACGGTGGGGGTTAAGGGTGAAATGGTGAGGAATTTGGGGGTGCGTGGTGTGAAACTGAGGGTGGTGCTGGAGGGCAAAATGTTCTTTGGGTTGAGGAGGGGGCTGATTATGTGATCGGAGGAGAAGGTCGATCTGGTCTCGGATGAATCCCGCCTTGTGGGAGAGGTCTAACCCTAGCTTTGCCTCCAACTGCTGAACAACACCGTTAACGCAGGTAACGGCGTTGGGGTCAGACTGACGGAGAAGCGACTCCACCCCGTTTGCTATTTCTTGGTCCGACACCATTGCTGAGCTGAAACTTCATATAATAACAGAAAAAACGGTTCCCTCTCTCGGCCCTGCTCTCTCTCTCTCTCTCTCTCTCTCTCTCTCTCTTCTCTCTCCGCCTCTCTCTCTCTCTCTCTCTCTCTCTCTCTCTCGCCCCTCTCTCTTTCTTTATATATTGAAATGACGAGAAACCCCCTTTGGTTATGTTTGAAGTTTCTCAAAGTGAGATGACTACAATGCCCTTGCTTTATCCGGAACCGATAAAGGATATCGGGAGATAAAATGAGGGGTAAGGTTGTAAGTAAGTGTAGTTGCTGATGACGTACTTTCTTTTTAGAACAATACAAACAACCTTGTCCTGTCGCTGAGAAATCAAAACTGATTGGTTCTAAATTACTAAGATACCCCTACTGCAAACAACTGTCACTCGTAATACTGCAAGTCTGCAAATGCTTCATCATCCTGAGTTCACTCCCTCTCCTTTTAAAAAAAGGAGGGAATGCTCCTTTTCACCCTGAATATTAAAATCACGTCATCTATATATTACCATAGAAATAATAGAGACGTGGCTTTATTATCCACCGTAAAAAAGAGCGTTCCCTCCTTTAGTGTTATTGTTCAGTATTTAAATCTTTTTTTTTTCAAAAAAATTTAGATCTTTTCTTGGGTGAAGACTAAAGACTAAAGTATTAATTAATTTAGATCAATGTCCTGTATTCATTGTCTTGGAAATGGAATCTAAATCCGACTATGTTGAAATCGTCTACGGTTGGTTTTACACGTAATATTGGGCCAATACATTGTACACCACATCAGCTCTGCGCACGTGGATATATCAATTGACGTGGCACATCATGATTGGCCCAATATATATCTCACTGTTCCCAGAGGATAGGGGCACAGGTTCGGTAGCATTAGCATGTGGTGGTTGTTTGTTAGGCAGGACAGATGATGATGGGGCATAGAGCTCAGTAGGGTTGGCTAACTACTTGCTGTGTCTCTCTTCGCCACTGTCATGGACCAATCTGAGAGACCAAAAAGAATTCCTAAATTACCAAAGAGGACACAATACACATTTCTAAGGGGGATAAATGATGTTTGATCTTAATAAGAGTAAATCTAGAGAGATGGTCTCATAAAGTAGGCAAATTTGCTCTCGTTACAAAGTAAACAAATTTATCTTTGTTTTTCTCAATTTTTCTATATCCTATATTTAGAGTGTTTGGTTCACGGGAATATGGGTCTAGAATTGTTATTGGAATGGTCAATTGTTTAGGTGAACAGAATGGGAATCCCATTTCCATTTCTAGCGGAATGGCATTCTTCTATTTGAGCAATGGTGGAATGGCAGAATGGCCATTCCCTCTTCCTCCCTTGGGAAATAAATTTTACTCTAGGTAATTTCAATTCTTATTTTAATTCTTATCTAAATCAAACAAACTATGGGAATATAATTTGGATTCCGACAATAAACCAGATTGACCCCTAATCTTTTCTTTATCACTAAAGAAAAGAGAAATCAAAGATGCTAGATGTCCTTCATCCGCAGTACCGTCAATTTATATGGTCAAATAAGGAAAAATATAAATAAATACACGTGTATACGAGCAATTCATCTCCTGCCATTCAACTTTCACCATACTGCTGTTTGTTTGTCAAATACGAATAACAATAGTATGTTAAAAATATAATATATTAGGTAAAAATACATATAATATGTTAGCAAATATATGATTATATATATATATATATATATATTTTTTTTTACATGTATATATATAGTAACAAAAATATGGCCAAATGCATAGAGAATCGCTTGGCTATATTTAGTCTTCTTTTTGAACGATATGGTTATGTTGAAAAAGCTATTTTTCATACTAAAACCAACAAGAAAATGAAAATGGTTTTCCAATTACTGATTGTATTTGTGAAACAAATGAAATACAAACACAACCACCAAAAGAGCACCCCTTAAAATGGGCTGATCAATGGAATTGTGGGGAGAATGTTATACCAAAAATAAAAGCCATTGAGATAACTCACAAGTTAGCCCATGACACTAATAACCAAACCACTTCATTTGTTCCAAGGAACTTCCGCTTGATTTTCAACACTTAGTTGCCTCCTACGATCCACATATGGGTAATAGATTAGCACATTCTGTTGCTAAATTTAGATGTACAATTTTTTAGGACCTAGTTTTGGTCCTTCCCTCCTATTTTTTCTAAGGCCTGTATTAGATAATGATTCTGGTGCAATGAATTAGCCTAAAGGCTTCTTTCAGGGAAAAAAAAAAAAACACTTTGCTACATTTGTAAAAGCGGGCCTCTTAGGCCATGTTTGGTTTAATTTTCATTTTTTTTTCATTCTTATTTAAGATGAAATTTTAAAATGGACAAGAATTGATAAAAATAGGTAGAATGAGAAAATATTATCATGAACTAGATTTGTTCATGGGCCGGGCTGGGCTTTGTATATGTATCAACAGAACACACTTAGGCTCGAGCCCGAGCCCGGCCTGACCATCGGGCCTAAGTCTTGAGCCCAAGCCCGACCCTCATATAAAGCCCAAAGCCCAACAAGAAAAGTGTTTTATTTATATTAAAAACCTTCAAAACTCAAAAATAATAAACATCTCACTATTACTTGGAAAAAAAAGAGAAGAAGAACAAATAAAAAATATTATATATATATATATATATATTATTAAATAAAATATATTTTTATTATTTAATACATAGTATCAAGTTGGGCTCGGGCTTGGGCCAAGCTTTTCTGAGAAAGCCCAAGCCCGACCCAGAAAAAAGTCAGGCCCGAGCCCAAGCCCACGGGCCTAAAATTATGACCAAGCCCGGCTTAATAACAAGCTGGACTGGCCCAGCCCGTTAGGCTACTTGGCCCATGAACAAGTCTACTATGAACCAAACACTTTTTTCCTAAAAATGAATTCTTTTCAGACTGACAAATGTCCTATGTAAAAGTGCTTTCATAAAAATACGTTGATAAAAGTATTTTCATAAAGCTTTTATAAAAATACTTTTGTAAATACAAATACAAAATCACTTTTATGAAAGTACTTTTATCAAAGTGCTTTTATAAAAAGTACTTTCGTAAAAGTGTTTTTAAAAAATACTTTCATAAAAGTACTTTTGTAAAAGTGCTTTCGTAAAAGTGTTTTTATAAAAGTGCTTTCGTAAAACTACTTTTATGAAAGTACATTTATTAAGTGTTTTCGTAAAATGCTTTCATAAAAGTGCTTTTGTAAAAGTATTTGCACGATAGTGCGCTAGTAAACATCTATGGCAGCAATTTTGTAGGCATATTTTCCTCGAATAATGAAAATGACCAAAATGGGGCAACGATTATTTTTCATGGTGCAGACTACCTCAACTTTTGTGTTATGGGCTGATTTTTCATTCTAAAAAGAATATAGCCCATGGCAAGAATTTTGTAACCAAACACTCTAATGTTATTCATTCTTGCTCATTCTTACCTAGAATCAACAAAACTTAAGGGATTGTTTGGCATCGTTGTCGTTTCCTAGAGCAACAACACCACATCAGAAAAAACGGTGCTCTAGGAAATGGGCATTTTTTGGAACCGCTTTTCCATAAAAAACGATGCTCCAAGCCATGCCTCGAAAATCGGGAAGCCATGGCTTGGAGCAACGCCAAATTTGGCGTTTCCTGGAATGGCAGCTCATTGCTGCCAACAGGGCAGTGATGTAGCACTGGATAATGGGTACCAGTGCTGAAAATGTTTCCTGGAGCAATGGTACTAAACAAAAAAAGTTGTTGCTCCAGGAAATGTCCTACCTGGCAGCAACGATTCCAAACAAAAATAAAGGCAAAATGGTACTCCAAACCACACATCAACTGTAGATGCAACATCTATGCCGAACATATACTAAAATAATGAGGCCCAAAACAATAAACCATCATGGCCTATACAAGTTCTGTATTGAAAAACTATCACTTTGAATGGCTAATATTTATCATAAGAATCAATACAAGGTGGGGAAAATGGCTGATGTAGACTCTTGACTGATAAGTTCATGTGGCCAGTCCAGTGGGTCTTGATCAAGCAAAAGGTCCTTCCACATATCCAAAGTAGGATTGATCCTACAGAAAACTCCCTACTTCTATAGTATAAACCTTGTATTTGTATCGTACGTATTTGTAGTTGCACTCTTTCAAAACTGAGCCAAGGTACAATATGAATTTATTTCATATGTATATCACTTCATTTTATATGGATAAGTTAAAGAGCGTTTTTTATTTTTAGTTTTCTTTTTAAATTTTAAAGATGGTAAAACAGACCCGGATTACATTAATTAGCATTTGTATTTTGATAATCAGATGAAATTTGGATGTAGCTGACGCTGGATGCAAGCCAAACCAGACCAGGTTACAGCCCGCCGTACCCATCACAGGATGCCCTAACTTTTACTTCTGCTCTTGTCATGAGAAGCTGGAAATCTGGAATCGTATTCGCCCTTGCCTTTAACCTTTGCATGCTATTTTGTTTCAAGCCTTGTCTATGGTTTTCTTCTATTAATTATCTTCTTTCACCTAAATTAAGGATCTCTTTGTTTTTCACAAAAAATCTCAGTTATGTGTGGAGTTGGGATCAATTACACTTTTCTCGTACATTTTTTGAGATCAAATCAGCCCCCCGCAAAGTCCCACAGCACATCTTTGCCGTATATTAGAAACATCTCATTTTTTATATTATCAACAAATCAGCCCCCCACAACGTTTCATAGCACATCCCACCGTATATTGAGACATCATCATTTTTTATATTATACTTTGTGAGGGCAGTCTGGTGGGGAGCTGATTTCAACTCACATTTACTACACTGAGCAATCAGTTCGTGAGAGTCTTAAAATTCAGTTACTCTCACAAAGGTCTTTACATGCATATAATAGAACACCTGTCACGCACTGATAGACGATTTATTAGTGTAGGGAGAGTATGAAAAAAAAAGTGCATCAGATTCGTGATAACACAAAACCATGAACATCGATCTGGTTATTTTAAAGTGGGATTCATTCAATGAAGGGGAGCTCTCTCTCAAGTAAATTCTTCGGAAGACTCCACGCCCCACTTAAAACAAGTGTAATTATTACTAATTCTAATGCATGTTTATGGTTATGGATGAGTAAAACAGTCCCATTTATTTTGTTTTATCTTATGGACTAATTAGTAATCATGTTCTTTTATTTCACATGGAAATGATTGGATGCTTCATGTTTGATACAAAATGATCATAACGTAGAGATCCCTAAGAAGAGGTCAAAGGGTAGCTATTGTCCACCCGAACAGAGGCAAGTTCGGGACTCTGGTAGGGGGGGGTTGAAACGGACCGCGCGGCCTGCGCGGAGGGAAGTGCAAAATTGATCCACACGATCTCTCTGCCTCCATTGCCTATACTCTCTCTCTTTCCCCTCCCCCGCAGCTTCATATATTCAGAATTTCGGATCACCACATGACCATTTCTCACTTTATTTAATGGCCCATTCCGCTCCAGCATCGTCTCTATGCAAGACGAACCGAGAGCCTCAACAATCAACCTACACACAGCTCGAGAAGTAAATACCGAATTTCCACAGTCTTTTCTTGCTTGGTGGGCGTGTGCGTGGGCGTGGGTCTTCTCTACTTTTTCTTTTCGCTTGTTGGGTTCTTTCTACTCCTTGGAAGGTCTATCCGTCGCCGTGAGTTTTGGTGGACACTAGACAGTACGGTTGCCTTTTCGAGTTCATTGTCAGAGGCCTATCTTATACAAAGGTTTTTCTTTTTTGGTGTTTTCTCTGTTTTGTCTTCTTTTCCAACGGTTTTCTCACATTTCTTTTCTTTTGTTTTTCCCATGATGAACTACTTCTAGGCGAGGTTGTTGATTTTCTCTCTCGTGCCGGTATTCTTTTTCTTTTTCGGCTCTTTGGCCTTTGATGGTTGGTTTTCACCGTATTTTGGTTTGTCCTGGGATTTTTCGGTTTGTCTCACTGTTCATGATTCGTTGATGTCTTTGGACGTTGGAGCTGCTTCAAGTTCGAATAACATGGGTGACAAGGAGAGTGGACTCCCAGAAGCAACTAAGACTGGAGTGACTGAAGCCGCAACTAAGACTCAAGAGGCTGAAGCTTCTGGTTATGCAACCGATGAGGATGAGGATGATGAAGTAGCAAAGATAGAAGTTGGTCCTCAGTTCACACTAAAAGAACAGATTGAGAAGGATAAGGTCTCTTTCTATTGAAGCCTTCCGCTTTCATGTCTTTTTATTTTTCAGTAATGTTGTCTATTTGAGTTCATATTTCTTTGTTGCTTGTCGTATTTGATGGTTCAGGAAGATGAAAGCCTGCGAAGGTGGAAGGAACAGCTTCTTGGCAGTGTGGATATCAATGCTGTTGGAGGTACTTTTTTTCATCTGAAGGCCACGAGAATTTAAATTGTATTTGTGAACTCTCTCTCTCTCTCTCTCTCTCTCTCTCATCTTGAGAGATTTTCACCATTAATTGATGATCATCTATATCTTGGAATTAGTTCTTTGCATTTCTTCCTGTAACTGATTTCTATATTCATCTTCTACTAAGTTGGGGTGACTATGTTTTCAATTTTGCTTGGTTTCTTTTGTTGTAGAAAGTCTGGAACCAGATGTTAAGATCATGAGCATTTCAATCCTGTCCCCCGGTAGAAATGAACTTGTTCTTCCTCTCCCTGAATCCGGAAATCCCAAGGGCTTATGGTTTTCTCTCAAGGAAGGCAGCCGTTACCGTCTGAAGTTTTCCTTCATGGTTAGCAACAACCTAGTCTCTGGCCTAAGATACTCAAATACAGTCTGGAAAGCTGGTGTCAGGGGTATGTTTTATTTCCTCCTCTCGACCTCTTCCTCCACCAGAAGATAATTCTGGTTCATTACCAATCTGGAGGTAAATTGAATAAGGTTTCTATCCATGGAATTGAAGAAGTATCACAGTTTTATCTCTCCTGTTGTATTTCAGTGGACAGCGTGAAAGAGATGCTTGGGACATTCAGTCCTCAGGCAGAGCCCTACACACATGAGATGCCAGAAGAGACCACCCCTTCAGGAATTTTTGCTAGGGGATCATATTCTGCAAAAACTAAGGTAAATTCAACCTGATGACATTCTGTTCCCATTAGCTTATCATAGGTAATATATATACTCATCGTACAGGCGCATTTGAACATACTGTATACAGGACTAATGTGAACAGGAGACATTGATAAAATTATAGTCCACAGAAGTCAGCCATATGATCAGATCCAATGCTCATTTATCCGATCATTATCATGGTGATTAATGTTTATATCATGACCTCGCCTTCAGTTGGGTTTAAGGCTTTAAGCTTGAACTTGGGTTCACTATTATTAATTGCCATTGAAATTCAATCACAACCGAGCTACCCATGTGCCTTACATTTCTGACTGGTTAGTGAAGCACCTTGTTTGGTATTTCTAGGATTACAGTACTTGAAAGGTTTTGTTGACTCATTATTTCTTAATTTTTCTTGACCTATGCATTTCATAAAGGGAAAGCACTGCATGAATGATGAACAAAAGCTTTTTGTCTCATCAGGAACTGGTTCTCTGCTAGCAAGATTATCAGTGGGGAGTTCAGCCAATCTTTTTTGTTAGGGGTGACCATGGGTGGTCGGTTAGGTTTGGTTCCAAGACAGAACCTAGAACCTACCCTGTCAAGATCAGTTTTGGGGTCAACTCTAGGGTCTACCCATGGAACCTATTCTTAACAGAAAAAAGAAAAAGAAAAAACATACCATAATTTAATCTATAGATTATCATCATATATTAATATATAGTTCAAAACTTATTATTTATAATCTAAACTTTGTAAATATTACCTTTTAAATTACTTAAAGCCAAGTTCAGTTCCAAGGCCAATTAAGGCCGGTTCTCAGGGTGGGTCAGCTCGGATAGGGTAAGCTCCTAGACCCTAGAATCAAGAATTTGGAACCGGACCCTATTGGGTAGGGTAGGTTTGAGGTTGGTTCCATTTGGTTCTGGGAAGAAATGACTGATATGCTTACCTTTTTCTGTCTATAGACTTTTTTGAATCTTAATACCCTATAAACTAATGTATAGAATCTCATTGTACAAGGGTTTATAGTGATACTTAATACAATATTATACATTACCGTTTTCAAAAAAAAAGAAAAAAAAAAAGATGATGAACAAAAGCTTACTCCCTATATGCCACTATTCATGCAATCTTCCAAATACTAAGCTATTTATTTTGCAGCCATAAAGTTGATGGCTTATAGTCCACAAGTCATAAACATCAAAAGTGCTTTGCCCCCACCCTCCCCCCAATTTGGTGGTCAGCTTGTGAAATGGGATGATAGCAGCTTTTATGTACTCATGGATTAAAAAAAAATCCCCTGCATCTTGTGTTTACCATGAGATTTTGAATCTGCCTTTCTCAGTATAAACCTTATAGAAAAAGTTCTTATTCACATCCTTGAGAACAAAATAGGAGTCCATAACTTGTCAGTGATCTGTATGAGTGCTACACTGACTAATGAATTAAGAGTTGAGTTTTTCGACCACCCTTTAGCAATGGGCGTGCCCCAAACTAACCAACACAAATATGAAACTCTTTTCCTGATCATTGGCCTTGTATTTTCTTTCAATCTGTGGTGTGGTTTTTAACTATTGATTTGTGAGGTTAGAAATCACCACTGAGGCTATGCATTTCCATATCCAAAAAAGGAAAGCAGTAATTGAGCAATTTAATCAATTAGTTGAAGGATCACATATGCAAATAGACTAATGTAGGTGTAATCTTGGAGTCTGTCAAGCATACTGTGCTTAATTATATATATGCATTAAATGCCATGGCTCTTTATCCTAACTCTTCTGATTGTTATTATAATGATTTTTATCTGATCAGCCTTTTTCATCTTTGTTCTGTCTTAGTTTGTTGATGATGACAAAAAATGCCACTTGGATTTGACTTACACCTTTGACATCCGGAGAGAGTGGCCATCAACTTAAAACTGAGTATTTTGATAATCTCTTTCAGAGATTTGTCTTCATTCAACTACGTTCTAATTCAGATAGGGGGTAAACAATTAGCAATCTTGCATGAGGCTGGTTTCAGAATAATGAAGCAGAAGAGGGAAAAGAATGCAAGAAATCAAATTTGGGCGCTTCACTTCAATAAGAGAGTTGGCCTGTCAAAGATTTACTTTTCCTTTTTGTTTTTGTTTTTTCTTTCCTGCATTCTGGTAACCCAGACTGGGTTTATGAAGCTGCATTTCTATGTTATTAGCATTTTAACCATTTGTATAGTGGACGTTAGAAATTGAAGGCAGTATGGTTATTTGGTCCGTTGGGTAACTATATCTTATCCCTGTTTAGCAGTAGTTACTTATATGAGTCATGACTAAGCTGTTAAAGCTAGCTGAGACATAATTTTTTCACTTTGTTTTCTACTTTTTCTCGTGCATGGCTATTGTGCTTTTCCTTTTTACACATTTCTCCCCTTACATTTTCCTTTCAAAGGCATGCGAAAGATGGAACTGCATTTCTTTTTGACAGATACTGGAATCTGATGACTTCTGAATGAGCAATATCATGTGAATACGATATAAACCAGTCCAGTAGCTTCTGTTAGGAAAGAAAAACAAATTGGCCAAGGAACACCTGACAGTGGTGTTCTCTGCTTGGGCCAGACTGAGTTTGAATCCTCTAAACAAATGTAATCTTGATGTGTGGGACCCATGAATGAAGCTGACATGGCATATCGTGATTGGCCTAATATTAGGCTTAGAACTGTAGAACCATTTGTAGGAGAGGCACATGCCAAAAGGCCAATCTGATTGTCCCACCCTTGCATGTGAAGTGCTTTACAGAGGGAAGTGTAAAGCAGCAACTGCATCCACTGGTGGTTATTGGACCCCATCCTAACCCTCACCCCCCAGCAAAGCAGAGCCAGAAAGAATGAATGAGCATCAGCCACCAATTCATCTCTCTCTCTCTCTCTCTCTCTCTCTCTCTCTTTTTTTTTTCCTGAAAATCAGCCATCAGTTCATCTCAACCAAGGTCTATATCAGCTATTTTATTTTCAGTTCCATCCATCAAAAGTCCTTTCAGAACTTCAACCATGCATAGTCATTCTTTGCCTCCACTGCCTCCTTTAGAACCCTTAACAGTGTGGTTGAGCAAGGCCTACAAAATCAGTTCTTGTGGAAAAAGGTAGTAATCTCTGAAATAAACCTCTTCTGTCCTATACACCTTTGAGCTGGTGCAGACTGCAGAATAAAACTTCTTTTTAAGCAACTAATGGGTTAGTTAAGTTGGTCTTTTATTGGACGGGTTTGATCTCACAAAGACAGGATTGGAAGTTCCTTCCATTGTACTGGGCCCCTGTTGAACAGCTATGACATGTGCTGGTCCAGTCCAATCCTAAATTCCCCTTGTGAACACCCATCCCCATGTTGACTTCTTCTTGGAGATGACCCTTAAACTTCCTCCCAACTCCTATTATTAACACAGTGGCGGATAGCCCATCTCAATTGGATGATCAAACTTAGAATTTACAAAAATCTGATAATTAATTTCTCTTCTCCACAGTAATCAAACAACTGCTGGAGAAAAAGAAAAAGGAAATTAATTACAAGACAACAATGATTCCAAGAGATGGTCCATTCGCCCATGTCTCCATGGTATGTAGACTGTATGTGGCGTGCAGTATAACGTCATAAAGTGGGATTAGGAGAAGATCTCCACCTCAACTCAACTTAGCTTTAATTCAATTCCATTTGGGATTGCTTACAGGTTACAACCCTGAAATACAGACAGACAGCTAACTAATGCATTTTACTCATTCTTTTTTATCAATTTGGGAGAAACTAGCCATGCCGACAGTCTGGATTTAAATTAAAAAGCATGTTTTATCATTAATTAGTAGTCTTATGGTTATCGAATTTTCCACAAAGAACTATATGAGTCTGAAGACAGACAGAATTCTAATAAAAGGGTTTACACTAAGGTGTCACATGTATGATGAATGATGCATCTACCAAAAATTAAAGAAAAAATAAAACGTGCCAAGGTGAATGAGGTAATCTCTTGGGATATTTCTAGCAGACAGTGGGAGACATCTGATCTTAATAGATGCTTTGTTAACACAATTCCTGTAACTTACCTACTACATCTATTAGCTACATGATTAATTTAGGTAATTAATCAAGAGAGGAGAAACAAAACAAACCCAAATAAATGCTCCTTTCTGATTACATCTTCTTAAATCATTTTCAGTTGTGTGTCATCGACACAAAAACAGTGGCTTTTTTGTTTAAAGGGGAGCTGGGAAGAGAGAGGGTTGTCTGTGTGTGGCTGTGTGCGCATGTTTTCCAAATCCTTTTATTCTCCTTTTTTACTCAGGAAGTTAATGGAGTAGCGTCGGCTGGGAGCAAACAGCTAAAGCTGGTTGGACGTTGGAGCCCATTACCAATACCATTACCAAGAAAAAAATAAATAAATAAAAGATGAGAGGGGTGTGGGTCCCACTAACACTAAACTAAGAATAAATAAGTAAATTGACTCTTTTTTTTTTGTTTTCTCACGAGAACTATCACGAGATGTCTGCTGATATTTTGGTTTGGGCATCACCGAATCACCGATTCACCGTCCCTCTGATTCTATAAAGGTCTCCATAATTATCAGAACATGGCCGGGAGTGGAGACCATCCAAACCGTAGATGGGGTTTACTCCAACAGTCCAACTTAATTTGGTCCGCTCGGATGCATGGCTTATGGGATATCGGCTGCATGTTGGGTTGGGTTGGCCCAACTTAGGCCAACTCTAACCGGTTATCAGGGCAAGGAAGGAGTGATAATGATAAAAGGGGATCTTATTATTGACAAATTTTATGGTTTATGAATTGCACTTCACTGTGGAGAAAAAAACGATAACCATTGATAAAATGACATGTTACAACTAGAGGTGTTGAAATTTGGCTACCGAACCAAAAAATCAAATTGAATAAGTCGATTTGGTTTGGTATGATATATTAGTATAAATTTGGTGATGAGGATGGTAGTATATAATGTGCTTTTTATTTTTTTTTATATTTTTACATTTATAAAAATTATTCTTTTTTCACACTTGTTAGGGTTCATTAATATAGGTATATGTCCAGATGTTTTCTACATAATTTATATATTTTTGTGTTTTTATCTTTTTAAAATTTTATTACTTAATTATAACTTCATGAGTTGATACATTTGACCTGAAACATTCAATTGATTTACCATCAAAAAGGAAAAAAAATCATTTTTGGGTTAATTTTGAATTTTGTATTTTATTTATATTATCAATAAAAAGTTAAAAACAATTATCATTTATCGTGTCTAATTTTTAATATGATTCATATAAAATATAAGAGATGTGTCCAAATGCATTCTATAAAGTTTCTATCTTTTTTTATATTTTTTAATTTTTATTATTTAATTATGAAATCAATGGTTGACACATATGACAAAAAATGTTAAACTGTTGACTTGCCACCAGGAAAATAATTTCATTTTTGGGTTGGTTTTAGTTTTATATTTCATTCCAACATCAATAAGAATAATTACATATATATATATATATCATTGGAAATGTGCCTGTTTTTTTATATTTGTTATTTGTTTATGTTTTATAGCTTTTTATTTAATTATGACATCATGAATTAGCCCACTTGACTCAAATGGTTGAATTGCTTATTTGCCATCACGATGAAAAAATGGTTTCATTTTTGGGTCAATTTTTAAAAAACATGTATTTTATACCGTTAAAAGTATTGGATGTAGATCTAATTGATAAAACTTATTTGTTTTTATTTTATAAAAATAATATCTTAAATATAAGATTCAATAAAAGAATGAGAGTTAATATCCTAAGATAAAAGTTAATGAGAGGGAATTGAATGAAAACAAATGTTGTAGTTTGAATTATATTTTGTGCCCTTACAATTAGAGAGGGACCAAATTCAAAAATAGGGGTATTCTAGTAAAGAAAATGATTCAATGAATGTTAATGGGAGTTAATAGTTAAATATTAGCCTTAATGAGAGGGATTTGAATGAGAAAAGTGATTTTTCAATTTACATCTTTGTCCTTAAAATTAGACAATGAACAAACTCAAAAATTGGGATAACTTAGTCAAACAAAAATTCCACACCATTATTCACACCTTTAATAATAGTATAGATATAGATAATCATTAAATGAAAAATGTAAAATGACATTTTTTGCTATACCTTGTTTTTCAATTATTGAACAAAAGTACTTTTGTGTCTTTTTATCAAATAAGTAATATTAAATAAAAATGTAAAATATTTTGTCTTTATTTGTTTTCAAATTCAAACTTTAGAGAATGAGCTTTTCTTGTGCATTGAAAATTCCAAAAGCTAGGGACACCTATGAGCATATGCATGTGTGTATGGAGATAAAAGGGTAAAGATGTAAAGATAAAAGATATATGATATAATACTTTTATTTAAGTTTTATAACCGCATTGAAACCAAAACAAGTATCTGCCTTGATTTGTTTGAGCCCAAGACTTCTTCGGATGTTGAAGTCGATGAGAACCTATCTAACACCCATTAACCCTAAGGCTCAGTTTGGAAGTATAAATACAAATATGTACAGTATAAATACATACAAAATGTAAGATTTTGCACTTTACATATTTGTATTTGTACTCCTTCCAAACTGAGCCTAAGGATCATCACTTTGGAAGGAGTACGAATACAAATATGAAAACAAAGATGTCATTGCTCCCTGCCTGATTGAGTGAGAAAGAGCAGGTCTGCTTCTGATGCTATTGCTCTTTGCCACTGTTGTCTGCTATTGCCTGCTCATTGCCACCAGCATCCACAACACTACTAGTTGCCGGAGTGGCAATTGGCAAAGCCTATTTTGCCCATTGATTACTATTGTGATTGCATTTGTTAGCAAGAAGCTTGCAAGTTTGCAACCAGTAGCGATGTATTTAGTTCACGTATGTTGTTTCTTCTTGCTTTCCCATTGTGAGTTGGAAAAAAAAAAAAAATTTCTTGCTATCATGAAATCTTAGGTTCTTCATTTATGAAAAACACAAATCTACATCATTTGTGAATTTACGGGCCTAAACTAATTTAAAAACTGAACCAAAATATTGGTGAGGTTCTAACATCTAGTTCATTCAATTGGGTTCATGATAATGATTAAACCAAAATATTGGTTGGGTTCTTGATTATAATCAAACCAAACCAAACTGATTGAATGAACACCCTTAATTACAACTAAAATCTTTAACGTTGTTAAAGTCTTGATGGTAGTTACACTTTGTGAAATGTAAGCTAATGAAAAGTAAGTAAATCAATGTGACATTTTTAATATGATGCTTGAAATCTTGATTTAAATATTATTATAACACGATTTTTATGTATTCTTGTGCACATATAATACAAAATATCATTATAACATGATTTTATTACACTGGACTCTTTATTACAAAATATAATATTATTATCACAATACCGGTTGAATTGGTTAAATTGTGACCAGCCCTTTGGCTGGTTCAATTATACACTGAAAACCATAGCTCACGAAAAAGCGTCAAAGCAAGCTAATTGGATCTTTGATTTAACCAACAATATTTATAAAATATATTATATGTAGTATTTATATGACCTACAAATATATGTGTGTATATATATATACCGTCGTCATCATTCAATCTTTGATTTAACCGTGATTGGACCTCTGACCCATGAACCTCTGAACCTCTCCCTTTTCTGGTTCTCTGAACATTGATTTTAATTTCATTGACACATGATTCTAGAAACATGGCAAGTAGATACCTTGAGAACTGTTTTGAATCTCTTCATGCAAGTGTTTTGAGTCATGCCTCTCTTTGTTAGGAACAGGGCTACAAACAGTATCTGATTGCCTATATTCGGATCCAATCCTATTTAAGGCTGATACAAATTTGATTTGTTTTTATAATTGGATTGAATATGAATCCATCTTTATCCAATCCAATACAGTATGATTCGATTAGATCTAAATATACATGTTCATATATGCTTAAAGTTCATATTATATCTATCAATAAAGTTGATTTGAATGTCGTATTTTGAATAAATTGTCATAGGTTCAAGTTTTATATAAAATAATTTTCAATTTATTTCGTTTATAAAAATAATATTAAAATCATTTTTAATTTATTTTATTAATAATATATAATATTTTGATTATTTTTAGTTTAATTTATTTTTACTGCTCAATATCCGATTATAATCCCAATTCGATTCCAATTTGCAAGATATGTGATGAATATGATCTGAACTGAATCTGAATACAAATTGGATCAGTTTTGGATCTACTTACATGAGATTCAATTCGATCCGTTTGCAGCCCTAATTAAGAGAACGAATTGATTTACACAATTGTTAGCACCAGAAGTCAGAAGACCCAAGCAAAATCGCCAAGATACTGCAATTGTGGAACTGGTCAAAGGCTGCTCGTAATTGGGCCTCTCCCCTCTGACACAGCTGTGGCCGCACACTGATACAGTATGGGCCAACTAACAACCGGTGGAATTGATCAATCAATTCTTCAACTTTTTTGATACGCACACGGCTACACGACAAGTCGAGATGAGAAGTTGGAGAGAGAGAGAGAGAGATTGGTGAGATGAGAAGTTTTATTATGCGTTTATATTGACAGTGGTGAATGTAGGGTAGAGTGCAAGGTCTGCTAGGCAAAGTAAAAAGAAGTGATTAGTTGGAGTTTGATTTAGAAAGTCCACCCTCCATGGGCTGTTTTGAACTTTCCACCCCGAAAAAAAAATATTCAGCTTTATTTCTTCTCTTACAAAGAAAAACATGCATTAAGAAACTTACCTGGCAGATCTCTGTAATTCGTACCTACCCTTTTCTCCATCCTCACCAGCTGCCTTCCCAGTTCTATATTACTTCCCTTCTCCAAACCCATCTTTATATAGTCCCCAGATTTTCTCTCTGTTCTGCATTTCCAGCCCTGCCTCTCTCTGAATTCCTCTTAGTCAGGTTTGTCTACTTTAATCTCATCTCTCATTGCATCTATAAGGCTTTTTTGAGGTTTTTGTTAGATGCTCATCTGTGCTTGTTTATGTTAATGTTTTTCTCTTTCTCCGTGGTTTTTTTTTTCTTCTTATTCTTGGTTGAAGTTGAACAAGATCTGCCTTTTTCTTTGATTGTTCGTTCATCTTCATCCTTCATAGCTTTTGTTGTTTCAGAGACTTGATGAATGGTTAGAGAAAACATAGAAAACCCACATTAAAATGGACTTTCATCTGGCCTTAATAGTGGGGTTTTGATCCTTAGAAAACATTTGCCCTTCTTATAAAAACACAAAACTATAAGCTTTAAGCCCCATTGATTGATTTTTTTGATCGACATTTTTCCGTCGAGTTGTAGTAATCCTCACCTGATGCATTTTAGTTGTCGGGTGTTTCCAGTTAATGGGTTTGAGTAGATAGAGTGGGATCTGATCATGATGATAAATGGTTTTGGTTACTACAGGAATTTGGAGAGATAGATAGAATAACAAAAGAAGAAAGGAGAAAAACGAAAAGGAGAGCGGAAATGGAAATTACAATGATTTTCATGGTTAGTGGTGTACTAATGTTGTTGAGTTCTTCTGCAAATGCTCAAGCTGTTGGATCTCCTTTACTGTCGCCGACACCGGCACCCGCACCTGCACCGGATTTCGTCAATCTTACCGATCTACTGACAGTTGCCGGTCCATTCCACACCTTCCTTAACTATCTGGAGTCGACCAAAGTCATCCAAACATTTCAGAACCAAGCCAACAATACAGAACAAGGAATAACCATCTTTGTACCGAAAGATGAGGCTTTCTCATCTCTTAAGAAGCCATCTCTCACAAATCTAACTCAGGAACAGCTGAAGTCACTAATCCTATTCCACGCCTTACCCAAATACTACGCCCTAGCGGACTTCAAGAACCTGAGCGTGGCAAACCCTGTTAGCACATTTGCAGGTGGACAGTACGCACTCAACTTCACAGATGTTTCAGGGACCGTTCACATCGGCTCGGGATGGACAAGCACCAAGGTGACCAGCAGTGTACATTCGACAGATCCAGTTGCAGTGTATCAGGTCGACAAGGTACTTCTTCCCGAAGCGATATTTGGCACTCCTCCACCTCCAGCACCGGCTCCGGCGCCGACGCCTGACATCGCTCCAGTTGCAGATGCTCCAACTAGCCTCACCAGAGATGGGTCTTCTCCCAAATCTTCACCGACCAAATCGTCCTCTTATCGGATCATGAGCTGGGGTGTCTTGAATTACTTGGTTTTGGCAATGTCAGGTGGGTTGATCTTATTCTGGTGAGAGAGAAATTGTTATGTGGGAGTGCTTAAATTTATAAATTATATTGAGAGATTGAGAGAGAGAGAGAGAATGTGTGTGTTGTGTATTCATCTTTGTCTCAATTGCTTTGATTTCGAGCCCATTTTTTTGAACATAATATGTACTTGAAATTTAGCAGTTTAAAGATGTGATTTCTTCTCCTGCATTCAATGAATACTGCTACCATGTTTTCTTACAGATTAAAGTTCATCTTCTTCATTCCCTCTGTTCATCAATTTTGGTAATTGATTTTTAATTAAAAACTGATTATCTTTCTTCCCAACATTGAATTGAATCAAAAGTCAAAAGTCAAAACTAAGACGATGAATATCAAAAAAAAAAAAAAAAGAATATCAACCACAGTAGTGCCTCTGCACTACTGCACTGTTCACATGGTAGTTGGTATGCCGGTCTCTGGCATTTCGACCACCATTAGATCAAGAGCACCTTGGGATTAGCAATGTTGTAGGACAGATTCAGTGTTGTCAACACTTCCATATTAGTTATAATAAGATGAAGAAACAAGTGTATCGAGAAGCGATTCAGAATTTCTGATTGATAATCTGATCCATCAAAAGACTAAACAGAAGTCTGTAAGTTGTAAACAGAAGACGGCACTCCTTTCAGAGTTTGGAAAATTGTATTGCCTCCACGGCATCAAACCCTCGACAACCGTTGACATGTTTCCCGATGGTCTTGTCGGCCTCAATAGTATCCAACCATAGATTAATAGATGAAGCCCGGAGATCTATTCCATTACTGTGGATAAGGAGGGATGGTGTCAGCCACTGGGATCCCTGATTTGTGTTTTTCACTTTTTGTTTTAGTAAAAGTTTATATTTCATTAATTTTGTCAAAATATAAAAAAACATCAGTTAAATTTGTATAAATAGGAAATAATAGATTTATTACTCATAAATTATATATGACATATTATTATGAAATTCAACAGATTTGAATCTTAATGTAATCTTATGGGATTAGATCTACATCCGATCTGATCATTAAATAGACAACATTTTTAAAATTTGGATCTGACAAAAGGGTTCATTCAAATCCGAAATTTTTAAAATTTGAATCTGACAAAAGGGTTCATTCAAATCCGAAATTTTTAAAATTTGGACCTGACAAAAGGGTTCATTCAAATCCGAACTTTTTAAAATTTGGACCTGACAAAAGGGTTCATTAAAATTTAGATATGACATTATTATGAAATTCAACAGATTTGAATCTTAATGTAATTATAGAAAAACCACCATTTGTTTTGCGGGTTGTGAGATTGAGATGCCAGCCCTAAACATATCAACCACACCAGTGAGGGTGGAAGTCAATAGTGAATGAAAGCCCAAAATGATATTGGGATGGAACGAGTGAAGAAACCAGTATGGATCATAACATAGATAAGAACATCAAATCGGATTTCCTGCCTACTAGGCTACTACTCTATCCATTCTCTGAATTTGGCTTCGGTCGGTGCAACGGCTGTCTGAACGGCTTTATAGCCTTGCATTGATAATATTTCCCTATTTATGCATTTTATTTTATAGAAAGATTTTTTCAATAATACGGGCTTATACACACTTTACCTACTTTTAATTGCAACCGCACATCGCCATCTTCTATTGTAAGATATGCGATAGTAATGTACTGTTGGCAGGGCACAAACAGGCCTATTTCAGATTTCTTAATTCTACTGCAAACGTATAAATATTTAAAATGTCAAATACTCCCACTCTATACACTAATACCCGCCCGTAAATTATATTAATTCTAAACTGCACTGCATCTGCCACTTTGGGCCTATACATTTTGACCTTGGGCTGAACTGTCATTTTTCCTAAAAAATCATTTTCCGTATAAGAGTCATATAGCATATGTGTTCTGGTTCTGTAATGCAACTTCGGCAATTAAATTTGCAGACAATGGAGGGAGGCAGATTGCTATATTGCGGACGGAGCTTTTGGATGGGAACAGCACAGGGTGCATGTGAAAGAACGGTGCAGTTCCTCGATGTCAATCTCCCAACACCTCCAATTTCAAAGTTTAGCCAAGTAACAATCCTCTTTTGCAGTTTTGCTACAATTTGGGTTTAGCCTTTGATGCATCATGGCCTTCCATGTATCACTGTGGCCCCACCTTGAATTAGATGAAATAGCGTCAAGGTGGGGCCACAGCAATCCATCAAAGGCCGTGATATGAGGTTTTAGCCCCAATGTCATAACAAAAGCCAAATGCTCAACTAAGGGTCAGTTGCCACCTAGACTATTGGTAAAGTGTCTAGTTGGAGTTGGGATCTCCTTTCAACAAAAACCCTTCTCAACATTCTTTTAATATAATCTGTATCCACACATCTCATTATAAAATTGGGGTCCACTTTAAGATGGGAGGGATCTGCACTCGTCTAGCTGATTGTAATGAAGACTTAGGATCTATCCTCACAAAATTGTTCTCACATCACATCATTTTCACAGCCCGTTTCAGCAGTACATTGGGACCAAACTTTCATTCCAGTGATAAGAGACCACATATATGTCTATGGTGAGAGGCCAAATTCATGATGAACTTGTCCAAGATGCCATCGTATTCATCTCCAATGATGGGGTACAAAACATAGTCATATATTATTAGAATATAACAAATACATTAATCTACACACAAAAAGAATTTAACATAATATAGCTAAACAAAGAATGAGTTAAAAACATGGATTCTTTTAAGGGTAACAAGGATTCAAATAAGTTTTGAATAGTTATCGGTGTATAGTGTCAAATAAGTTTTAAATAGTTATTAATGTATTACAATAGTTAACAAACAAAAAAAAATATATTTCATTTATATTCTAAATTCGTAATACTAATATGCTTTGATCCTAATTTAAATAAACATAAACAAATATTATCTGTTAATTCAAATGATAGTTGATACAAAAAGAAAGAAAAAATATCTAAAAGATGAAAGTAATTACTCAATACACCAATTCCAAAGTACCAATATAAGTCAGTCACGGTATGTCCAAAAGCCTATAAATCAATGAATAATTGTTACAACCAATTTCAAAATTAATATTGTTAAATTTATTATGTAAATACTTCTAATTAATTGTATTAGTCTATCTAATTAATTGAGACTTCCAGATTTCCAATTTTTAATTTGCATATTTACAAAACCAAATTCTGGTATCTATAGCATACACCCCCCAACCACCTAAGTTAAGAATTTATTCTTCCAACATATTAAATTTAGAATTGAGTCCCATTTAGAAATATCACAAAATGGTTGATTTACTGTGTTTATGGACCTAGCTTTTAAGGCTCATAACTTCCATTCTGACTCAAATAACCATTTCACAAGTGTGATATATCATCATGAAGGTCTCACGGCCTATTACAATTTAAACATCATCTCTGGTCAAAGAGATCATCAGATAACCCCTTTCTAGTGGCCTAAAATTGGATGGTCGCTAAAATTTTTCCGGATTCCTAGATTTAATATATTTAGGATACCAACTTTAAAAAAAAAATAATAACTTTTAGTACAAAAGTCTAAATGAGGAGTTCTATGTACTATTTCAAAGATCTCATTGACAACTACAACTTAGAACCAAAATTTAGCAAAATACATCACCATGCCAGTTTCTGGCAGCCTAAAGTTGGCTAACGTTCACGATGTTCCAATCCAAAATTTAACTTAACTTTCCTTCCACAGATCTAATAGACACAAGGTTGGATTCGTTGGAATCCTAATGTCATGAGGTCTCTATTAAAAATATTTTCCTTGTTGGAGAATGGCCAGAAAATGATCATCTAGCAAAAATCCAAATTTTAAGTTTAATACACGGGAAAATGAAAAACGAAAACTAAAGGGAAAAAAACTAACCTAAAAAGTGTTTTGATGCCAAAGAATGACCGAGATTAATCCATACCTTAATTCTGCAATGATTGATTGTCTTCACATTCTCTTGTATCTGAAAAGAGAAAAGAGGAAGAATTTGTTGCATTAGCTAAAAAAAAAGGGGTTTTTTTTCCCATTCTTAACACATTTTGTCATTTTGCTAAGCAGTCCTCCAATCAAAAATAAAAATCTCAAGCAGCCCCCTCTTACAACTAAGTCGTGATCCACTCTCCCACTACTTTCATCAATGATGAAATGGGCTTTTCCCTTTTTCTTTTGTTGGGTATTACAAGGGAAAATGGCAATGATGATCGATTATAATCAAAATAGAAAGAGAGCAAACGGCATCGACTCATAGACCACAAGAAGATTTTAAAGGGAGAAGAAGAGTGGTTTTAAAAGGCTGACAATTCTAAGGGCGATGAAAATGTTGTGAAGGTTAATTTAGGGGGTCTTCTCCGAAAATGGATTGTTTTTCTTGTTGTGAGGGAGGTTCAAGGTATCGATACGATTATATCAATGACATCCTGAAACGGATTTTTTTAGGTATTTTTCAAAAAAATATTTTTTAATAGTTAAATAATATTAAAACAAATTTATTCTGAAATTTTGAAAGAAAAGAAACTAAAAAAATAATATGATGCGATACGTATGGTACCTTGGTTGTGATTTACAAAAACAAAACAAAACCAATTGATTAGAAAATAAATTGGTTCTTAAAAGTTAAAACCAAAAATAGAAAAACATGTTTTGATCTAGTTATATTCGAGGTTCAAAGTATTGACACGATACACCACATATCAGGTTTTTCGTATTGTATGGTGACCTCCCAAAATGGTTTTTTAAGGTATTTTAAGAAATGATTTTTAATATTTAAATAATATTAAAAGAAATCTATTCTGAAATTTTGAAAGAAAAAATAAAAAAAATATGATGCATTAGGTACAAAATACTGATACACCCCTTCTAGCGTATCAGGGTGTATTGATACTTTGAACCTTGATATAATTAATGTCAAATTCCATAAATCATATAATTTTATGCCTACAATTTGATATTTTGTTTTAAATATTGTTTCTTTCTACAAGACCAATATATTTTTTCTTTTCAAAATAAAAATAGAGTTCAAGGACATGTTTTTTGTTTTTGTTTTTGTTGATGTGGCCATTTCAAAAGCAAGAAACACAACAACATTCATGTGGTACAACACCCTCTCAGTTTATTTACATAAATAATAAAATGGTTGTTGTGTTCCCATCGTTTCTTTTCTCTGAAATTAGAGATATCTAAACATGGCATGGTAAAAA